GAGATTTCTCGCCCTCTCGCGATGCCATAACAGCAGTCAAACAGAAGAATTCGCATAAGTCATGTGCTGTTACTCACTCAGATTTTGCCTTGTCAAATATTGTTTTCAAAGGATGAGACTTGCTCTACGTAAGAATTTCACTGTGGTAAACTGTCTAAAGTTTCAGAAGAACAGTGTAGGTGTATAGGAGATAAGTTAGGGAAATCTATGAAAAATAATGTAATTACCGCCGTAATAATCATAAAAGTCAGATTTAAGCTGAAAAAAGCGACAACAAATAAATTTGATAATTCTGTAAATAAAGTAAGGCATTTTTTGTTTGCCATAATGAATCTTTTCTACTTAAAAAACTGAAAGGAATTTTTGCAGTTAGCAAGAACAGAAATTTCAGATAAATTTTTTTTTTTCGTTATAATAGTAAAAACGCTAAAAATGGCCATTTCCTTTTAAATCATAAAGTATTTGCAGAATCAGTTATCTTCGCTGAATCAGAGTTGCTTTTTAGAGCATCTGAATAGTGTTTAGAAAAATAGTAGAAGAAAAAAGAATTCAAAAAATCCGAAAAATTTTTTGAAAATTTACAATGTTGAAGATTATATCGTTCCATTTTTTTTTTCTCTCTATTTACAGGCATACGTTTAGAAGGTGGAGACTTTTAACGTGTAGAAGAAAGGGCAGTTCAGTACAAATACGAAGTAACTCGATTGTAAAACTAAGGACTCGAAAAAGTATAACAACAAGAATAAAGAAAACAGAAACAAAAAAGTCATTCTAAGAGACTTATTTGAGCGACTTTCTAGATGCAAACAAGTTATGCCCAAAGATCTCTTTTTTTTTTTACATTTTTCAGAACTTTTACTTTTGGCTACACAAACAGATAAAAAATTTTAAAAGTTGATCACAAAGTTTGTGAGACAAATTACAGTGCAATATTTCAATGAAAAGTCGGTATGCAGTGAAATGAAGTGCAGGTTTGATCAAGAAAAAACAGATTTCACTACCGAAGTAAAGTCGTACACTTTTTGTTATGAAACAAGGCAGCTGATAAGAATAAATTTGTTTTGATATGAATCGCAGTTGGAGAGGCATCTTTGTAAAACATAATTTATCAGTTGTTAATAGCAGCTTCCCCCTGAAAAATCATAGTCAATTTTCTGCCAGACGTAAACATCTGTTCTTTACATGGTCCTTCTATGTACTCATTGCTCCTAACGATTTTTTTTATCGCTAGCCTTGACTGCTTTCAGGTTTGCCAATCATTACATCATGTATCAACTTACTTCTAAACCATTAAACGAAGTAAAGCTGCTCTTATTATGTAAAAAAGCTGAGTTTGTGCGTTTGCGTTGCCATAACTTTTTTATAAAATTTGTTTATGCAAAAAGGAGATTGACACTTTCATTGCATATGTTAGCATTCCAATTTCGCGTAAACAAGAAATATGGCCTCAGTTCCATAAAAACTGCCCGGTATCCTTATTTAAGAGTACTGTTTGGTTAGAGAATGACACGTGTTTTTTTCAATCCCCGCTAGGTAATAAAGGCGTCAATTGTCACACCAGAAATCTTAGTCTAAATAGGCACACTCTGAATCCAAAATTTTCTTTTCTTTTTCTTCGATTTTATCCCTATCAGAACCTATTAGAAGAACAAGATTAGGGGGTTATTGGAAGGCTATGGTGCTAAAAGTATCTAAAAAGTTCAGTTTTGAAGGTGCTGGGAAGTAAACAAAAATACTGTTTATGAATACAGGTTTCCGATTCAGTAGATTATGACTGAAAACTTCCGGAAACAAGCTAAAATAATGACACTTCTGACTTTGCTTGGCAATGAGATTTCTTGTAGTTTCGCAAGCTAGAATTCAAGAAACAACTAAAGAACTTTTGGAAGTTGCCCATGGTAATACTATTACGGCGACTACCAAACTTGGTTCGGCAGTCGTCGTAATAGTATTACCATAGACTAAAGACTCTGAGTGAGTCGAAACCGCAGAATCTTTTAACCAATTCAGCTGTCCTTTTAATAGTTTCAGATAAGCTACTGAGATTTATATAGAAGTATTGAGTTGCTTCAAAGTAAATGACTTTTGAGATTATGCTGAATTTTTCTCTAAATTAATTGCTATACGTCAAAGGGAAACTGGCAACTATTGCATAACTAGCAAATTTAGAAACTTTTTCTAAGATAGTTTTGCGACTAGTTTGATACCCAACGTAACACAACCTTTGCTTATGGAAATGTAAACGCTGTAACAGTGACTGCTATTACAGAAACATTTTGCAGGGTCTACTACACACTAAAAATTTGTTCAACAAACCACTAGTCCTTATTTACACTTTTCAATGACCGTCAGTTTGAAACCAGTCTTTTGAAGAGGACTTTAATAGGAAAAATATCAAACAAAATGAGAATTTTTTTTCAACTTTTTAAAAACTTTTTCAGGTGGAAAGATGTAA